ATGTTGCACAGGCTGGACTTGGAACTTCCAGGCTCAAGCAGTCCAACCTCAGTCTCTCTGTAGCTGGGATAACAGGTGTGGACTACTGCTCCAGCTTCCAGCCCCTTTGAATGCCTTGCTATATTTTGCAGACTTCCAGCCACAACAGTTCCACCATCTAAAGGTGGAACACAGAAAACTCAAAGCCCAGCCTCCCTGGCAAGTAAGATGTACCTCCACTCCTCAGATCAGGCTCAAAGAGGTAAGATTCCAGCTCAGAGGTGTGCAATCTGATGACATGAACTCCTTGTGTGCCCTGGGTTTGTTGGCATGCGTGGTGGCAGAGACCAGCTTCTGTGGGGATTATGGTTTCCCAGTAGTTGCAGGGTAAGTTCCTGCCTCCGAGGACGTTGGCAGAACAGGGGTGAGAGCATCAGTAGCAGCTGCTGTTTCCTCTTCAGGAAATTCTGAGGTTCTGGATATTTATTCCTGGAAACTGAGTGCTCTTGATGATTTTGTGGGTTTTCCATATCCTTTAATAAACTCATTTTTTTTTCTTGACGAACACAGCTGTTGCAGAGAGAGTAGTCCAAGAGGTAGGCTTGTGACAAGCTCCAGACCATAGCAGTCAGGGATCCAGAAGTTTCCATGTGCCCGAGGTAGGGGATACAGATGCTGAAAGAGCCTGCTGACCAGCAGTGTCCTGGGTGTGGGACAGAAGCCACGGAGAGCGGGGACTTCTGTCCCGGAGGCACAGGGCAGGGACCACACCCAGAGGGCCAAATGGGGTCAGACATATCAACTGTCAGCAATCAAGGACCAGGTCAGATAAGTCTATAGACAGAGAACATGTGGGCCCTAAACTCCCTCACATAAGCCCCTATTCCAGGTCCCCCAGATGCAATCCTGGAGGATAACAGGAAGAGGAGAAAGAGTCTGAGTGTCTGAGCATTCTTTCAGTAGGAGCTAGATCGTCACTCTAAGACCACTTAGGCTGGACGAGTCTAAGATGTGACTGATCCAAGCTAAATGTATGCTTTTCCTGGGACCCAGCAGGACCAGTGCTCATACAGATTAGATCAGTGATAAACAAAAATGTATGGTGTGGGGGGTGTGTGCCTGAGCCCACAGGTTTGAAAACAGCCTGGGCAACTTGGCAAGACCTCATCTCTACAATAAATAGATTAAAAAATTTAGCTGGACATGGTAGCATGTGCCTGTAACTCCAGCTTGTTGGAAGGCTGAGGCAGAAGGATCTCTGGAGCCCAGCAGGTCTATGCTGGACTGGTTGTGAGCGTGCCACTGGTCTCCATCCTGGGCAATGGAGTGAGACTCCAACTAAACTCCCCTCCCAACCCCTCCCCCAAAAAGTAAAAGCCATACTTTCTCTCCCTTTTTGAGAATTACAATGTTGTCATTTCCTGTGTACTTTCCATGCGTTGGTGCTACTCTTGTCTGTTTCTTACCTATTATTAAGCATCAGTGTTGTTCCTATTTTTCAGAAGATAGAAAGGCTCAGAAAGTACACATACACTGTGTAAGTTCAAGTCACAAAGTTGATAATGAATGGAGTCACAATTTGAACGTAGGGAGCCTGAGTTTAGTATCTATATTCTTAATCATGGTGCTATACAGTGAATGAACGTTCCGGCCCCATTACCATTTTTTTTAAGAGACAGAGTCTCACTATGTTGCCCAGGCTGAACTTGAACTCTTGTGCTCAAGCAATCCTCCCACCTCAGTCTCCCAAGTAGCTGGGACTACAGGCATGTGCCACTGTACCCATCTCCACTATAATCTTTTTAAAATTCCTTTAATTCTTTAATAAATAGCTAGTGCTACCATGGGCAGGAACAGCAGAAATACAGGAGGTTGCCATGCTCTGGCTAAAGTTCACACATTGTTCAATATTCTGCACTTCATCCTGTCCACCACAAAATCTGTTTTAGAATCTACATGGGCAAGGTATTGTGAAAGAACGAGGAGTTGAACCTATTCTTGCTCCCAGGTGTTACCTTGCTCAGAATCTCTTCATTCATTCACTCATTCATTTATAAAATGTTCATTAACACCTGCCCCTGGCAAGATGATAATGGGGTGGTATAAAAATGAATAAGACGTAGTCCCTAGCCCTAAAGAAACTCAATGTCTATAAGAAAGAAAAACAAAAGAGGTTTTGTGTATTGCACAAAGATGGCAACACATAGAAGAAACTGATGATTCCTAAGAAATGCATAAACAGAGATTAGTGTTAGCTCGGAGATTGGAGAGGACTTTTCAGCTAAAATTTCCTGGGGAACAGAATAAAAATAATTTAATTCTGTGTGGAGAGTGATTGTTGTGACTCCTAAGTGCTTTTTTATTAAATCTCAAATAGAACCAGTTGGAAAAAATACTCTTACAATCTAATTCTCAATCTTTCCTTCCCCTAAGAATTCTCTAAACTCTCAGGGAATATGAAAAAGGAAGAAAAAGATGACACAATTAGAAGCTAGAGTCTTCTGTCTCTGACTGTGCCAGGCCAACACAATCTGGGACCATCTTCAGGCTGCTCACCCCAGGAAGCCAGACATGACTGCCACCCCCCAAAACACAAAACTATCTTATTGCGAGTTTTGCAGATCAGAGAAGTAAGGAGCACTTCCAGGTACAGGCATTGGAGTGAATATCTGCAATTGGTTCCTGACACCTCACCAAAATGGCAAGAAAGAGTTTCTATGCAAAATGCATAGATGCACAAGTGTGGGAAAATAAGGGAGAAGGTAACAGAAGCAAAACCTTGAAAGCTAAAAAGGAGAGGGAAGATTGGCAAATAATTTAGCAGATCTGAAAAACACTATTCCTAACATGGCAATGGAGAAGTTAAGTCAATGGTGAAAAATCAACTCAGTATTCATTGTGGCATCCCCAAAAGACTCTGGAGTTTGAAAGATATCTGTTTAAATGGAAGTTGGGGGTGGAGGGATTTATGTAATGAAATAAGAATTGGTGGAAAGTCTGTTTATGAAATAGTCAATGCTAGGTCCCATTCCCATGCTATAAACATTTTATGAATGAATTAGTGAATGAATAAATGAATGAGGAGATTGTGAACAAGGTAACACTTGGGAGCAAGAATGAGTCCAACTCCTCACTCTTCCACAATACCTTGTCCACATAGATACTAACACAGATTTGGAGCTGATTTACTTCCCCTTCTCTGCAATGAAAGCCTGCACCTTTATTTTTTGTGAGAATAAAAGAAAGAGTCTCTGGACTGAAGCCTAGCAAACTCAGTTGAGGGCTGGGATACTGTACTTGGTACTCCAGTTGAAAACACCTCTCAGGATCTGGCCAGTTTCCAAAGAAAGACCCAAAGATATTGATACCAGAGTTTTTTCAGCTAAGTAGCCTTATGCAGTCTCCCTACAAAAATGCCCTTGGTCAACAAGTGCACCCTAAGAACTTCCAATCAGCTTTTTAGTCCCTATTCTTAAATATAAGTAGTCAAGAATTTTGGGGCATCTGAATAAAACTTCTAGCATGAAAAAGAAAGGTAAAAAAAATACTAAAATAAGGAACTTGGAGAAAACAGCCTCTCTGAGGAGAGAAAAATAAGAAAGATAAACATTATTGATGTTTTCAGAGCTGTGAGAAGATAATGCAGCATGAAACAAGAACAGGGATTAATAAAAAAAGAAACATCCAAACTAAAGAAAAGTTCTAGGAATTCACAAACAAGATAGCAGGAATTAAAAATCTCAATGTGCAGATAGGAGAATAAAGTGAGAGATATTGCTCAGCAAGTCATTTGAAAAGGAAAAGCAAGATGCACGAGAGAGAAAGATAAGACAATCAGGTCAGTCCACAAGGTCCAATAATTGAGCAATAGGAGTTTTAGGAAGAATGAAAGATAGAGATAGAATAAGTGTGAGTGAGAGAGAGCAAGAGAGTGAAGGTTGGGGAAAAGGGAGGAGATTATTAATAAAATATTTCAAGAAAAAGTTTTAGAACCAAAGGCCATAACTTTCCAAATTGAAGGGATTCACTGAATGTCAAGCAGAATGGACAGTGGATGATAATCGGCATTCACCAAGTCCTGTGAAATTACGGACTACTAGAGATATAGAGAAGATTCCATAGGCTCTCACGGAAAACAATTGATCACATACAAAAGGTCAGAGACTGAAGCAACTGCCATTTTCCCAACAATAACACTAAAATACAGAAAATTCTGAGGGAAAGTAAATTCCATTTTAAGATTCTATACCTAGCCAAACTATATGCCAGTGTGAAGATAAAATAAAGATATTTTTAGACTTGCAAAAAGACTTGAAAATACTTACCTCCAGGGGCCATTTCTTGAGAAGTTACTGGAGGGTATCTTGCAAAATAGGATAAGCCTGGTAGAAATAAAATATCTTTGATATACAACACAAGAGATCCAGCATAGAAGAGATACAGATTGTGGGTGAGAAGAACCTGCGGGATGTTAGCTGGGAATTGGACATAAAGACCAACCAGTCCAGGGAACAGCAGATTAGAAGATGCTGAGAGAAACTTCCTCAGGATATTAAGTTTGATAGAATAGCCGGTATGTCTAAAAGGCTTGAGAGGCTATTTTAACAAGTGACAAGTGTGTGGCATTAAAATAGTAATGGGCATATAAAAAACCAAACAAATGTAAAAGCCTAGACTTTGAGTCATTAACTCCAGGAAAAACAAAATGTTGAGGAAAGGAAAGATAAACACAGTTTTACTGCATGGATCAACCGTGAATTTACAAAATTTAATAATATAAGCACCCAATAGTAATCTAATCCAAATCCGCACATAACAGTCCTGAAAAGATGGAAGATGGGAAACTAGACTTGGTCATGATGGTGGTGGAAAGACAAGAGGACTAACTCTCAGTTACCATAGCGGGAAGTCATGAACACTTGTCACTATATTTCTGACAAATCAAAAAGCAGCAGTTACAGTCTTCAGCACATGTTATTTAGAGGCATAAATGTAAATTCAAAAATAATAAAGTTGGAGCAGTGTGAAGAAGAGGCAAGAACGACCCCCGGACTGACCAAAGCCTGCACGCCGCTCCATCCCCACGTCCAACTCCTTAGTTCCGCTGCCATCACCACCATGCCCAAGAGAAAGGCTGAAGGGGATGCTAAAGGAGATAAAGCCAAGGTGAAGGACGAACCCCAGAGAAGACCTGCAAGATTGTCGGCTAAACCTGCTCCTCTAAAGCCAGAGCCCAAGCCTAAGAAGGTCCCAGCTAAGAAGGGAGAGAAGGTACCCAAAGGGAAAAAGAGAAAAGCCGATGCTGGCAAGGAGGGGAATAACCCTGCAGAACATGGAAATGCCCAAACAGACCAGGCACAGAAAGCTGAAGGTGCTGGAGATGCCAAGTGAAGTGTGTGCATTTTTGATAACTGTGTACTTCTGGTGACTGTACAGTTTGAAATACTATTTTTTAAATCAAGTTTTATAAAAACGCAGAATTTTGTTTTTGCTTTTTTCAAGCTATGTTGTTAACACACAGAACACTTCATTGTTGTTTTTGGGGAAAGGGGCATATGTCACTAATAGAATGTCTCCAAAGCTGAATTGATGTGGGGAAAACACCTTTCCCTTCTAGTTTTAAGAGACTTCCTCTTGGCTTCCAGGAGGAGGGATTCCCCGACGTTGACACACATAGCCACCTTGGTACAAACGCCTGTGGTGTGGAAAAACATTCATTTTTTATGCCCTCTTCTCCCTTTCTGCCTTCAGCATAGACTTAACCCAGACATCTGTTGGGACCTGACCCCCAATAATTGGTTACCAGTATGTCAGTGATGCCACTGCGATGGCACCCCTCATAAGAGCAGCAGTTTTCGTTTATAGATTGTGGATCTTCAGACAAATTCTGCCATTTTCATTTCATTTCCTGAAAGTCAGGGTCGGCTTGTGAAAAGTTGTCAAACAACATGCTAAATGTGAAATGTCAACCCTCACTCTAAACTTCTTCCCTGTTCAGAGCATCAAATGAAGACTTCATTGGGTTTTTATAGTGGATTTCTGAATTTGGTAGTCCATTAAAGAAGGGAATTTGAAAGTTGTTGTATGCTGTTAAAGATTGTCTGCCCATGTCCTGCCTGAAATACCATGATTGTTTATGAAAAGTATCTTTAATAAAGCTGGATACAGTTTGGCTTGGAAAAAAAATAAAAATAAAAAAATAAAGTTTTAAAAAAGATGAATTTGTCTTATGATTTTGGGTAACAAACCCATAAACTTGGCAGCTTAAAATAACATCTATGAAAATCAATAATAGTTCCCCAAAAGTTAAACATAGAATTATCATATGACCCAGAAATTCTACTTCCAGGCATATTCTCACATGCTTATAACAGCACCATTTATAACAGCTGAAAGGCAGAAACAACCCAACTGTCCACCATCAGATGAATGGATGAGCAAATTGTGAAATATACTTACAGTGAAATATTTTTAAGCCCTAAAAGGAAACGAAACGCGGATGCATGCTACAACATAAATAAACCTTGAAACATTGTGCTAAGTGAAAGAAGCCAGACCAAAGGTCATATACTGTAGTATTCCTCTTATACAAATTACCATAGAGAAAGAAGACTGATGGTTGCCAAGAGCTAATAGGAGGAACGGTGGGGGTGGTTACTTAAGGGGTATAAGGCCCCCACCTGGGGTGATGGAAATGTTTTAGAACGACATAGGGTTCGCATTGTCAATATACTAAAGTCATTGAATTGTTCACCTTAAAGTGGTTAATTTCATGTTATGTAAATTTAATCTCAATAAAAAACTATATAATCTAATTATACTAATTGAATTAGTGCGTGTAGCACTCCACTAACCTGATTAAGAGAACCTATCATCTTCTTTCCTTTCTTCTTCTTATTTATTTATTTTGGCTATTCTTTCTTTTCTTCAATTTAATTCCATTCCAAAAAATGGAATATACTGCATCCCCTCTAAAAAAACCTTAACAACGGAGAAAGGAATGTGTTTAGTAAAACCTTAACAAAAAACCGGGCTCGGTGGCTCAACCTGTAATTCCAGCACTTTGGGAGGCTGATGCAAGTGGATTGCCTGGGACCACGGGTTCGAGACCAGTCCTGGCAAGACCTTGTCTCTACAATAAATAAAAAATTAGCCTGGTGTGGTAGCGCGTGTCTGTAGTTCTGGTTGCTTGGAAGGCTGAGGCAGAAGGATTGCCGGAGTCTAGCAGGTCAACGCTGGGGTGGCTGTGAGTGCCACTGCACTCCAGACTGGGTGACAGAGAGAGACTCCTACTAAAAAAAAGTAACAAAAAACCTTAACAAGGGAGAAAGGAATGTTCTGGGCACCTTTAAGTTGAGTTATCAATTATGACCAATCTGTGTTCTCCAGCATGGGGAGAAATATCCAGAAATTATGACCTTGCATGCATTAAATAAAACTCTTTCTGAAAAATAAAACAAAAACAAACACACACACCTTGCCCATTTACTGTTTCACAGTTTCTGAAGGTCCAGGCTTAGTTTAATGGGATTCTCTGCTGAGGGCCTCACGTGGCTGAATCTAAGATGTTGTACCAGGGCTGATCTCTCACCTGAGGATTGTGGTCCTCTTCCAAGCTCATTGGATTGTTGGTAGAACCTCGAAGTTTCAGGACTGAGGTCCTTGTTTTCTCACTAGCTGTCAGGTTGGGACTGCTCTCAGCTCCTAGAAGCCACTCCGAGTTACTTGCCAAGTGGTCCCCTCAGCAGTTTTCAACTTGAATGCATACTTCCTTCCAGGCTAGCTGGAGCGGGTCTCTCTGATTTCCTGTTGTGTGACCAGGCAGAAAAAACTCATGGCTTTCAAAGGGCTCACATGGTTTATCTGACCCATCCAAAATAATCTTCCTTTGACCGTGCAAAGTAACATAATCACAGGAGTGATATCATACTCATAGTTTCTAGTCACACTCAAAGAAGAGGGAATTTTTTAAGGGCAAGGGTCACTGGGGACTGTATTAATCAGGGTTCTCCAGAGAAACAGAACGAATAGGCTATTTATGCACTTGTATTTATTATAAGGAGTTGGCTCACATGATTATGGAGGCTGATAAGTCTTTAAGATCTGCAGGGTGAGTCGGAAAGCTAGACCTGAAAGAGTCGATGGTTTAGTTTCAGTCTCAAGGCTGACAAGTGCTCAAGACTGAGGAAGATCTGATGTTTTAGTTCAAGTTTGAAGGCAGGAAAAAGTCAGTGTCCCAACTTGAAGTCAGGCAGGAGGAATTCCCCCTAATTCGGGGGAGGGTCACCCTTTTTGTCCTCTCCAGGCTTTCACCTGAATGAATGAGGCCCACTCACAATTGGGCAATTGACGGTATATATATATATATATATACTGTCTACCAATTCAAATGTTCATCTCATTCAAAATATTCTTAGACAACCCCAGAATAATGCTTGATCAAACATCTGGACACCCCGTGGTCCAGTCAAGATGTCACATAAAAGTAACCACTGCAGGAATCATCTTAGAATTCTGCCTGCCACAAAAAGGGCAAGAAGTTCCCACCAGCAGAGAGGGGACAATAGAAGAAAAGGAGTGGGTGACTGATGTTTTTCATACAAACCTTGTAGAGCTATTTAACTCATGCTTAGAACCAAGCTATGTATCATATCCCTCCCCTTAGGGTGAGAAGTCTGTGGGTCCAGAAGGCTATGTCTGTGACCACATCTTTTATCCAGACCATGTCTGGGGCAACTGAATGCCTTGACCAAACAGCTCAGATCCTGAAAAGATCTCTTTTCCAGGCCAGCCCTCTTGTTGATGGACTAGCTACTCTTGTGCACACCTCCTGGCCTGAGAGCTGGCTCAGGGCTGTAGAAATTTGTAATAGGTGTAGATAGCACTTGCAATAGGTGTGGACTGAAGTGCCTTTTTAAAATTAAAAATTCAATTTTGAGATAATTGCACATTCACATGCAGTTGTAAGGCATACTGTGGAAGGATCCAGGTGACCTTTTAGCCAGTTTCTCCCAGTGGTAACATCTTATGAAACTATAGTACAATGTCACACAACCAGAATATTAACATGGATACAGTCCATCAGACTTATTCATATTTCCCCAGTTTTTACTCATATTGATGTGTGTATGTTAAGCATGCGTGTATATTAAATTCTATGCAAATTTTACCCCATGTAGGTTTGTGTGTCCATTTTAGAGTCAATACACAGAACAATCTCATCACTAAAAGGATCTCTCATGTTGTTCTTTTATCACCACAACAATCTCTGTCCATGCTCCCTCGTCTCATCTCAATCACTGGTAACCACTAGGCTGCTTTCCATTTCTATAATTTTTGCATTCCAAGAATGTTATGTGAGTGGAAATGCGCAGTATTAGCTTTTTTCCCCCCTACACAGCATGCCTCCCATGAGATTCTTCTAATTGTTGAATTTATCAATAATTTTTTCCAAATGCTGGCCAAGATACAGAGAACCTGGATCAGTCATACATTTCTGATGAGAATATAAAATAATACAGCCACTCTGGAAACAGGTTGGCATTTTTAATAAGACTAAGCATGCAATTTCCATGTGATCTAGCAATTGTACGCTTTCGCATTTAACCTAGATAAACGAAAACTTATGTTCACACAAAAACTTGTACATGAACGTCTATAACAACTTCATTCATAATACACCAAGGTAGAAGATGGCCAATCCTTCAATGGATGAATTGTTAAACGGTGGTACATCCATACTGTGGAATTCTATATAGCAATCAAGAGAAACTATTTACATGCCCAACAAATGAGAGACCAGTGTCACCCTGATACCAAAACCAGGGAAAGACTACCAAAAAACAAAATCAGGGAGTGCTCACTTTTCTATTTTCTGCAAGCAATTTTACAAAATCAGTGTTGATTCTTCTTTGAAAGTTTGGTAGAGTTGTCCCATGAAACCAACTGGGCTTGGAGATTTCTTGGTGCCAGTAGTGACGGGCTTCCTCCTTGCTGGTGTCACTCATCTTCTCATGTCTCTGGGTTGGGAGGGAAGTCTCAGGCCCAGCAGAGAAGGAGAACACCTCCTCAGGCTGCCTCTTTTCAGTAAGGTTTCTGATTGGTCCCCTTGCCAGTGCTGCCGAGTTTGCCTAGTGTTGTTGCAGGGACTTCCTGTTTGATCTGGGGAAAGGCACCCACCTGGGTCACCTTTTGTTGCCATGTTGGGGCTGGGGCTGGGTCACCTTCCCTCCTCCAGTCCTGGGGGGCTCTAATCGGTTCATCTTCTTTTTACCAGCTCTCAGAGTCCCCTCTGATTGCCCCTTGAGTTGTTTCTAGGGCCTGTTGTTGTCTGAGTGGGGACACGCAGAAATACCAAGACTGTGCCATCTTGTTTGGACTGGAAGTCCTGAGGTGTTCTTTTGCACTCTGAAGGGTGGCCCAGAGCCATGGGCGGGAAGGAAGATGGAGATAATTTAGGACCAGGGGCTGGGAGCTTGTTTTTTCTACACTGTCATTTATGAAACAAAATTGGAGGAGTCTAAAATTTGTTCCTGGTCTTCTGGGTCATTTGAATATATAGTTGTCAAGGCTAGAGGAGAAAATGCATATTTTTTAGCAGCTTATTAACTTGATTTATGACTTTTAAATATTCACATAGAAAATTTGTGAGCCTCCATTTCTATTTTTGTCCCAGTCAGGCAAATGCTAAGGGCAGGCCTGATAGGCATGTAAATCATTGATTAAAAGTAAAAAGAAAATACTTTATTTAAAAGAGGGAAAAGTACTTTCTTATTCCATCTT